CCCTGCTTCAAGAAAAACCCAAGTTAGAACTCTACTCAATACTGTGTAATAGCGTATATGGGAAAGGAATCTAAAGAAGAATGGATATATGTATAACTGATACACCTGAAACTAACACAACATTGTAAAGCAACTATACTCCAATAAAAATTTTAACAGAAAGAATAAAATATTTCACCAAGACAAAAAAAAAAAAAAAAAAGAGGGGCTCAAGATAGACAAGAATGGCAGTCACAAAACATTGCTTTGGGGGAGTTTCAAATAGAACTGCCTGCAAAGAATATCAGACAGTGTTTTGCCTTATTGTTCCTAGAGTGGGGGAACCTCTGGTTCACTGACATGACTCAGAACTTGTCTAAACGTCATCTGGTTCACTAGCCCCCTTGATACTAAATGCCCAAGCCATGAAAATGTAGCACAACTCTAAACACTTTCAGTCATGCTACCCTAAAGAACACAAGAGATATGACATCATGGAAATAGATAAAAGGAAATATGACCCTTCCATTGCACCCCCAAATTTCATACAAAGAAATAAGGGGGAACTTCCCTGGTGGCGCAGTGGCTAAGACTCTGCACTCCCAATGCAGGGGGCCCGGATTCGATCCCTGGTCCAGGAACTAGATCCCACACGCGTGCCGCAACTAACAGTTCACATCCCACAACCAAGGAGGTGAGCCACAACTAAGGAGCCCTCAAGCCGCAACTAAGGCACCCACATGCTGCAACTAAGACCTGATGCAACCAAATAAATTTATTTTAAAAAAAGAAATAAGGGTTTGTTGTTTTTTCTTTTCCCATCAAGAGTGAGGAATAGAAAGGACTTCAATGATTCATGTGGTTCCAGGCTTCAGGCTAGAACTACAACATTGCTTTTTAAAAACCTAGAAATGTTTACTCTTCTTTAAAAATTCAAAAAGTTTCCCTTCTTTAAAACTCCAGAGTCACCTCTTACTTTTTATTCTTCTGCTTCAAAAAAAATAGATAAGGAAAATGAGACCTCTTTATAGATGTTGCATTTTCACTACCATGATATCTTTATTGAATAGAATTTTATGTTCCTGGTCCCTAGCTTGAAAAGTGAAAGAATTGCATACTTTGGATTTTTATTTTGCTTTAAAAATAAAAAAGTAAGTTGCTTTTCATTAAGAAAAGAAAAGGAAAACCCAAGTTAAAGAGTTATAGTGAAACTAACGAATGAATTAAAAGTCACTGGGAAATCAAGGAGACAGGCCTGAAAAAAAAAAGGCCTTTATAAATTATACACATCTGCAAGCATGTCAGTTTAAGACAGAAGGCTTGCATGAGCTTTGAATTACTAAAACTTGGGAAGTAACGAGTATATATATTTCTATGTATACAACATACAAATGATCTACTAAGAATTATCACGTGTGCTGTCAACTTTAAAATTCGAATGCTTCCTCAAGTGAATTTTAGGACTGGTGAGGTTTTTAACTTGCCCCCCTAGAAGGAAAAGTCATATGCAAATGTTCACTGGAAATCTCTAGGATGGCCTTGTTCTCCCAGAGAAGAACATCTACAACATAGGTGCCAGCTGTGATCATGATTTCTCGACTGCAGAGTTTTATCTGATTGGACCTAGATTGATAGCTGAGTCACAGACCAAAGATCCCAAAGAGGTATCTCGTTGTAAGTTCTCTCTGGCCAAAACCCATGTGGAGACAATTTAAAGCATTACAGATCTATTTGGAGAACAGAATATTTGTCCATAGTAAAATGGACAGTCTACAACTATGGAAAAAGGTAAGATTCTAATTATTTTATTTCAAAGTGAAGAAAAGCAGAAATACAGGCAAGTAGCCCCACTTTCCAAATTTCATCTGGGATTTCCCAAAACAGAAGAGAAACTAACTCCATTTCAGGTATGAGGTCTTTATTTTCTTACTATTTGACTACACAGAGTAAACCCAAAAGGAATCTAAAAAGATGGCCTCTATACAAACCACAATAGAATTTACTGTTAGTAATTTGGAGTCTTTCAAATTGTCAAGGATTCTGCAATTCTTTGAATTATTTCTTACTCTAAAGCTTGTCCTTCCTTTTTCATCCCCAAGCCTTCCTCTTCTGCCCTCATTTCTATTCTCTACTTACCGGTGTCATCTCTAATAACACCTTCTCTTTATTACTGTCAATCCTCTATTTTCACATCCTCTGGTACCAGAAATGAAATCTTCAAAATTGGGGGAAATGAGGAGAAAACACTCTTCTCAGTGCTTCCTTTCCACTGGCCCTCACCCCAGATGTGTTCTCAAGCACACACTCCTGTGTCCACTGCCTCCTTCACATTGAAGTCTTCACCCCCAACTCACCTGCCACCTGATACACACAATCACAAAAACAGACTTCCAAATCCCACCCATTTTTCAAACTCTACCTCAGTCTCCCAAAATGCCATCTAGACTATCCCAATTCATAGTGGTCTCTCCTGTCTTTTCTAGCACTCTCATAATCTGTATGATACGTTTTAATTTCACATTCTCAATATAATATACAGAGTTACTTAGAATACTAACATCAAACAAGCTGCAGTTCATTTACTAGCAGTGTGATCTGAAGTCAGTCATTTCTCTACGCCTCAGTTTTCTCAGCTATGAACAGGAAGATAGTAAGAGTTCGGCATCCTTGCTCATAGGGTTATTATGAGGATTATTCATGCAAAGTGCCTAGTACAGAGCAAGCACTCAATAGGTATTAGCCATTTTTATGTTGTCAACCATCATCCTCTAGTTTTTGCATATATCTTAAGAGCTGAGCCAGATTCTCAGCTGTTGAGAGCAGAGACTACAGCTTATAGATGTTTAATAAATACATCTTTATGACTAAATGAGCCAATAATTTCTAAATAATAATGCTAAGGGAACAATTATAGCATGCTAGTACACAGAACTAGTCTAAGGTTAGGAAAAAATAACTTCACTATATATTTACAGAAAGCCTCATTATGGGCCAGATGTTACTTAGTAGGTTACAACAATCTTCATGGTAGACCATGAATACCTCACTCCAGAAAGTACCTAAACTTACCTAATAAATACAGAAGCTGTACATTAATAGCTAGTCTGTGTAATTGCCAGAGATTCTTCCTCCCCAGCCAGGTATCTCAGAAAGGATCAACCATGGGTTATGTCAGGAGGAAGGGTGCTATCACTGTAGATCTTTAGATAGGGAGGAAATACTTTTATGGGATACTACCACTAAATTATCACAGTCTATCTAGATAACCTCTAAGTATCTGTGAGATATCCCTGCTTACTGTTCTCCTAAAAACTGCAAGAAAATTTCCGAGGTATTCATTCCTTAGTTCAGTGCTAAGGCAGGCAATGACCTAAAGAAGCTGGGCTCCAAGTTGAAAGAGCTGGGATTGTCCCAATTGTGTCACTATGCAAATTCACATAAAGAAGGGAGATGAGTAAAGTTTGTCTTCAGCAACATCCAAATGCTTTAATGAGCCATCTTCCAGTTCTCAACTTCAACCCATTACCAATTTAAGCAAAATCCTTATTTGTTAACGTCCATAAAAGATAAACAAGAACGCCTTGTAACCGTGCCAAAGCTCCATTTCATTCCTAGAACACAGGACCATGCAGAGGTCTATTTTTTATCTTTACTAAGTAACACTGTGAAACAGCTAAATCAAAAGTCCTAGCAACTAAAGACAGACCTCTCTTAAATTATGACAGAATTTCCACGGGGGAATTATTTCATCCATTCATTCAAAAATATCTACTGAGCACCTATAGTCAGGCAGTTCTAGTTGCTCAGCAAATAGAAGAGACAAAAATATAAAAAGGACGTTCAGATTCTAGTTGGGGGTGCACTGGTAAACAAATGAACAAGGGATTATAAAATACATGGAATGATGCTGTGTTCTGGAGAAAAGTAAAACAGGAGAAGGAGGAGGAAGGGTGAAGAGACAGACTTGCGATCTTATACTGCAGGTTCAGGGAATGCTTCACTGAGGAAGTAGGACTGAAAGATGAGAAACTGAGTCTATGCCAGTAACTGGGGAAGGGGCTTTCCAAGCAAAGAAAACATAGAAGTGCAGTAGCCCTGAAGCAGGAGCTAAGTTTTACGTAGATATTCTGGAAGGAAAAAAATTTAACACCTGGATTGGAGTCCTAGCTCTTTGCCCTTTACCAACTCAGTAAACTTCAGGAAGAAAACATTACCCCTCTTGAACCTCAACTTCTTCCTCTGTAACTCAGGATACTACCATGTAACTCACAAAGTTATTTCAAGGGGAGAAAAGGATGTTTAAGAACGCACTTTACAACACTAAGGGATTATTCCCAAATGTTTGTCCTGAGGGCTGCAGGAATTCTAGTTGAGGCTCTGCTGGCTTCAAGCTACAACTTACATAAATGACCAAGCTTGTTTCCTCATCTGTCAAGTTAGGAGAATGGCATCCATCTCACCAGGCGTTGTGGGGATTCACTGAATGAGATCATCCACGCAAATACAACGACTGATACACAAATTCCTCAAGAAGTGAAAGATCAGCATGCTTGTCCCTATGGGGGCTGCCCTACAAGCAGGCAGAGCTCTGCTGCCGGGCTCAGCATCAGATGCCCACCGCGAAGCTCTTCCTTAGGCTCTTGTGGAATTGACTGTAAAGTCTCTGGACGACTCTGAAGTGTTTTTCCCCTTCCCCGTTCTACTGTGATGTTCTGGCTTCTAAGACACCATTTTCACTCTCTGAAGTCTTTTCAACACATGCAGGTACCATTTAAAAAGCGCTTGAAATGGAGCTACCACCAAACGGATTTTCCATGGGGTTCCTGAAGTCCTCCGCCAACCTTCACTTCCTCAGAGAAGCGTCACTTCACTAGCCTTTGGTGAGGGACGCCCTCCTTTTATAAGGACGTGATGACATCACCTCGCGTCGCGTCGCGCTTGCGCAAAGATGGTGGCGTGGCCACGCCCAGGTCTGCACCGAGACCTAACGTCCACACAGTCGGCGGCGCCCTCCCGGAAGAGGTCAGTGTGGGGTTCGGTGAGTGAGTGAGTGAGGTCCGACAGCAGGACGGCCTGCGGGTGAGTGCCCCGAGTGTCCGAGTGTCCGAAGGACGGCTGCGCTCTGGTGGGGCGGATACTGTTAAGGGGGAAGAGGTAGGGTGATGAGGAAAGTTCCCGAGTCCTTCCAGTGTACGCGGAATTTGAGTGGTCCGTGGGCTGATGATTCCTAGAAGCAGCGGATCTTCGGTTCAAACGGCAGACGTTGTCTTGGGGTTAGTGTGAAGTGCTGATGGTGGTCGCAACAGAAAAGAAGTTACTTTGGAGTCACTTCCAGGAATTTCCTTGACGCTGCCTCCGAAACTGGGAAGAAAGCGGCGAGGATTGGCCTGCAGTGATTTCGTCGGAAAGTATCTGTAACTCGACCCCTTCCGGGCGAGCCTGTCAGTGACTGCTGTCCGCGGTGCTGAAAACAGAGCGGCGCCTTGAGGAGGAAACCCGTTGAGGGCAGGACGGTGTTTCTGTTTCCCTTGGCGGTGCTCAGTGTCGTACGCTCCATGTGTGTGTGAAGGAAGGGCTCCGTTTTTTTAAAAAATCAGTGCTGGACACTCAGGCGGTGAGCAGACAACCAGTATTAACTCAATAAGATTTAGGAAAGCCAGTGCTTCATTCCAAGAAGGAATTTTCATTCCTGTTTTTTTATTACATCATTGCAGCTCAAATTGCATTCTCCCTTTGGGCAGGCACCTTCAGCTCTCGCACCCAACCATATTTGCCTGCAGACTCAGTCTTCCAAGTAGTTCGCTAGACCTCTGTCTGTATTGGCCTAGGCGCTTTCCTCTGTTGAATTTTACACAGTGGGGGTTTTTTTTTCTCTTTCTTTCTTTCTGTTGATTCAGTAAAATGTTTACTAGTCTTAGTACCAGCTGCTTGTTTGTTTTGAATTCTGATGAAGGTTAAAATGTGGGTAAAAAAAGAAGAGGGGAAATATGCTGCATTTACCTGTGTCACAGTGTTCTGGGATGCATCTGGCATACGGAAAACTATGTATCATGAGTAGAAGTGTTTTTAAGTGCCTTCCTTTCATTTTATACATTATTATAGCTCAAGTTGTATTTTTCCCTTCTGAGAGAACCAGTGGATTGAGGTGCTGAATGATCAAATGTTGCAAAGCTGAGGACATGTGGTACAAGTAACTTTAAATGTTATTATTTAGCAGAAAGCTTATAAAGGCAGCTTTGATTAAAGATGGCGTCCCTGTTTGCTCAAGAAATTCGCCTTTCTAAAAGACATGAAGACATGTAAGTTTTTTAAAAAGGCTAATCTCAATGTACAAACTGTCCTGGCTTTATTAGTGAAACTGTGTGCACAGGAAGACTTAAAAATCTGTAAGTGTGTCATTTTAATTTTCTGACACTTGAGAGATTTTGGTGTTAAGGCATGTCATTATCCCTCTAGACTAATAAAGATTAAAAGGTCTAATTGTGTTTTCTGTCTTCTTAATTCTTGTTACTAATATCTAGATAAATTCATTCTCCCTCTAAGCTTTCTATACTCCACATTGGTATTTAATGAACTTCTCTAAACTTCTTACCAAGGGCTGGCTCTCATGGGTATGTGACTGTGTAGTCACAGGCCCTGCACTTGATGCTCTAACTTCACTGTCTTGAAATCCCCAGTAATTTTTTTTTTTAACAAGGGACCCCAAATAATTTTTTGCCAAGGAGAAAAATTTTCATTTTGCACTGGGCCCTGCAAATTATATGGCCAGTCCTGCACTTATATTTCGTATTAACCCTTCTCTAACCTCTGTATTGTGGGCTCTCATGTTTTCCTTTAATTACCAGGCTCTCTACCGTGGCCTCCTAAGGTATTTTTCTTACAAAAATTACTGTTCAGAGACCTGGGGTTTTAGTTCTACCCTCAAGAACAGCCCTATGCAACACAGTGTTTCTTGAAAAGCTCAACTATTTGGGAAATGGTTACACTGTTAGGTGTACCATTTGTGTATTTTTTTCTCATCTGATCATTTAATAAGACCAAAATCTTGTAAAAATGAGCATATAACCAGGGAGAAACTTTTAAAGTCCTCTATATATATAACAAAGTAGTTTGATAATTTACTTACACCTTTCTACATCTTTCTTCAATTACTGTTTTACCTTGTTGTGAGTATGCATGTGTAAACACAGCCTCTCACTCATATATGGAACCATCATCTTTCTCTTGGGAAAAGAGGAAAAAAATATTTTTATTGCTTCTTCAAACATATGGAAGTTTAGCACAATTCTAAATGTGTAACATAAGATTCAGGGGTACTGAAGTGTTAAGCAGAAGGTTTCGTATAGCAAGTTATATCAACGTATGTGTGGGGAGGTATATATAAGTATGTGTACAAAGGGATATGTATTACAGTTTGCATTTTCACTAAATATTTTTCAACACTCTACAATAATTTCAAAAGACCAGAGAGGTTACAAAAACAGAAACATGTACTTATAGCGTACATATGAAAATAAAAATAATTTTACCAAGACTTAAGACGTACTGAACTACCTAAGGTTTTCACTGTCTTATTAATTGACATAGTAATTGGCTTTCAAAACAGGTTGAACTTGAAGGGAGGTGCAATTAAAAATGAGTTATTTATCAGTGTATTGGTCAAGCAATAAAATGTTTCTTTAAACTTTATATAATCTTCATTTTCTCTAGAGTATCACAAAGATTAATGTTACTTCAACAAATGGGGAATAAACTTGGAGATCAAAACAAGGAAAAGACCCCTCAGATGCAAACAGCTGAGACTGCTTTACAAAGGAACCTTAGTCTTTTAAAGGTAAGATTCTCTGAATTAAATATATTTTCCCCACGTTGCAAAAACGTTTTACGTCAACTTCATAACTTTGATTTTTGTAATTTCTTCGTTTTGAGTTACAGAAAGGATTAATGAGGTACTGTCTATTTTTTAAACCCATGTTAATTGGACCAGAAGCACGGATTCTCATTTTTTAAAATGAAAATACTTGAAGTTTGCTTAGGCTAAGGAAAAATCAGTCACCACAGGAAGAATTTTAAGGTCACCTTTGTGCGAGAATAAATACAAGACATAGCTTCTATCTTCCATCTTCTTTTATTCGTAGGGAGATCCTGAAACACGATAAAGCACCTATCATGTATTTAAAACAATTTGATTTTGCCCTACTGGGGCCACAGTCAACACACAGAATTCATATCTAAGATAACAGATTTCCCTGATCTTTTTTGATGGTGATGGAGGAGGTGGTCAAAGTATGTGATTGCGCAAGGCCTCACCATTTGGCCAGTGTGCCCATTTGGAGTAAAATCATATGTGTAACATTTTTGGCTGCTTGCTATACTTTGCTTCCAGAATTGTATGGCTTCATCCATAATTAAAACCCTAAAGTTTGCTTCCATTCAAGCTTCCAAGAGATCCTATGACTAAAACATTTGGTAGTAAGGCTATATTATTTAAGTTATAAAGCAGTGTTTTCAGTTTTTGATTGTTAAATATTTTCATCGATAGGCATGATGTAGTTCTCTTCTGTCCTCACTAGAGGATAAAGGAAGAGGAAAATTCAGTTATCTTCTCAGCTTCTGGCAGTTTGATCCACAGTAATTTAAGTCACAGCCATAGTGCTACCAAAGCATTCTATATTGCCATATGTCTTACTTGCCCAATGGTGTTTGCAATATTTATTTTTAAGTGGAAATATATAGGGTAATCTAGAATTTGCACTGAAAAGTCAGAAAATCTAAATTGGAAGTCTTGAAGGCTTGTTTGCTACTTATTACAGCAAGTGCAGGTAATATTAAGTGTCTTCCTTTTAATGAGAAAATATTTGATGAATGCCCAGAGGGTCCTTACTATTGAGCTAGTTCTGGGCAGAAAGTGAGGATAACAAAGTAAGTATAAGTTAGAGTTCTTTAGATCAAGTAGCTTACAGGCTCAGTTGATGACATAAGGTTGTCACACACAAAATAGAGACCTTGTATGATCAAACATTAATTAAAATATGTGGAATACTCAGCACTTTAGGAGTAAGTGTAAAAACTCTTTGAAAGCTAGAATATGCTATGAGGTCTCAGAGAGGAAGCTAAGCTGGAGCTGCATTTCAGTAGGCAGATGGGAAGGCATGCCATTGAATTTTTAAGGAAGATTCAAGACCAGAAGAAGAACGAATGGCCTTACTAATAATGTTCATGGGATCCTAAGCTAACTAGCTTGGAAAGTCACAGGAAACAAGGCTGAATATGTATTCTGAGACCAGATGAAGAAGTTGAGACTTGGTATGTAGAGATGATATAATATTGAAAGTGAGCCAAAAAAAAAAAAAAGAAAGAGAGAGAGAGACTTATATAAGAAACATATGAATGGGTCTTTAAGAAAGAGTCATTTGCTATTTAGATGCAAAGTGATTTCAATAATGGAGAGATTGAATTTAAGGAAGGTAGCTCCTTGTCATATCTAGAAGGAAGATAATGAACCTAGTTTCATAGCCATTAGAAACCAGTTTGGTATGGTGTTTTTTCCCTTAATTATCAAAGTAATATATTCTCACTATAAAAAAAACTTGAAAGAGCAAAGATGAAAAAGAATACCTTCTATATCATCTGCCCATTTAGAAATTAGTATATTTTTGTGTATTTCCTTTCAATCTTTTTATAAACATTTTTCAACTATCTCTTACATCCCAGATACAGTGCTTGCTGTTAGAGACGCAGTTTTTCCCCGTTTTTCTCTTAAACATACTTCGAATAACTGGATATGCAATTTTTTGTCCTTCTTTCCCGCATATTATTTTCTTTAACTTTGGGTATAATCTTAGTGGCTCTCTCATAGAAGTTATCGTGACAGTAAAATAAATAGGACTTGCTTACACAATTTGAGTTGGGAGAGACTTTAAAAAGCATATAACTTATATTCTTATCTAAAGGTCTTTTTTTTTTTTAAGCATAAAAACTTTTCCCAAAGATATAAAATAGATAAAAGTGGACCTGCTTTGGCCCAAAGCCCTATCCATTCAGCCTTTTCTTGCCTGCACTGCTGTGGCTCTAAGGAACTGTGAAAACCAATGATCTGGGCTAATCCCTTAATTTAGAGATGAGAAAACCGTAAGGTAACTACTCCTAATACCCCTTTGTCAAGAACAGGTTAAGTTATAGCAGGATAGGTACTTAAGTACAGAGTGCACTTGAAAATGGTACCATTAAAACCTGGCAGCATTCCTATAAAATAGTAACAAAATAGGGATGACTGTATCACCGTCCATTATTTGACCTTACTCACATGTTCTGAACAATATCACAAACACTAAAAGGGCATGAGCTTTAACTTTCAGAAAGAAAGATATAACACTAGCATCTTTCAATGATGTAGTTTTATACTTAGAGAAGCCAAAGTTGTTTCAAAACGGGTATGAGTTGAGTAAAATTAATGGATAAAATGTAAACATAAAAAACAACAGCAACCCTATATATATACAGCTGGAAAATAGACACCACATTCATATTAGCAATAAAATTATAAAATATATAATTGGGAATGCTTTTAACAAGCGATCTGCATGAATGGTATTAAGATAATTATTACACTTCAGTGGGAGCTGTAAGAGAAAATTTAAATGGAGACATACGCCTTAATCCTGCCTGGGGAGACTATTATTTTTCTAAGTCAGTTGTCACAAAGTTATTTTTAGATTTAATAAAATCCCAACAAAAATTTCTCTAATTACACTTGAAAAAATAAATTAGCAAAAATATCAAAGCATGATTTTAAAAGGGGAGCAATAAGAAAGAGACTAATTCCATCAAACATATTAGTAAAAGAATGAATAGGAATCTAAGCAGTAAAGAAAACTCACAGTGAAGGTTTAGTCAGTAAATATAGAAGGTAGCGGCCTTTGAAAACAGGCTCAGGGATTTTTTCAATTAGTATTAATAAATGAAATTTAGCAAAATCATAATGGATTTGAAAGACAGAGGATTTTATTTCTACAGATACTTTCATGATATAAAGTGCCATCTCTCCCACCTTTCCCTCCACAAAATTTAGTTTAACCCAAAAAGGCGACTTTGTGGTAACAAAGATCCTCTTGTGAGGAGGATGGACGAACACTCTGGCATGAGGAAGGATGGGAGCATCCCACAGCAGATTAAAGATTCACGCCAGAGAGTGACACTTATACCATCACACACACTGGAAGCGTGTTTTTTTAATTGCTATAAAAATTTCACACCTGTGTAAAAGAAGGAATAGAAGAATGTATTTCCATGCACTTATCACCCAGATTCGATCATTATCGGAACACAGCTAGCCTTGTTTTGTCTATACTCCTCACTCCCACCCCTTAAGATCATTTTGAAGCTAATCCTCAGACATTGCATTGTTTTATCTGTATATATTTCAGTATATCTCTTTTTTTTTTTTTTTTTTCCTTGGCTGCATTGGGTCTTCGTGGCTGCATGCAGGCTTTCTCTAGTTGCAGCGAGCGGGGGCTGCTCTTCATTGCGGTGGCTTCTCTTGTTGAGCAGCACGGGCTCTAGGCTCACGGGCTTCAGTAGTTGCAGCATGCGGGCTCAGTTTTTGTGGCTCACGGGCTCTAGAATGCAGTCTCAGTAGTTGTGGCGCATGGGCTTAGATGCTCTGCGGCATGTGGGATCTTCCCGCACCAGGGCTCAAACCCATGTCCCCTGCACTGGCAGGCAGATTCTTAACCACTGCACCACCAGGGAAGTCCCTCAGTATATCTCTTTCTATATTTCAATATTTATCACTAAAAGATCAGCACTATTTTAAGCAAAATCAAAGTATCAGTATCAACCTAAGAAATTAACAATAAATCCTCAAATATCCAATCAGGTTCCAAATAAAATCCAATTTGTAATTGATATATCTCCTAAATTTCTAAAAGTACTCCCTGCCCATTTTTTCCCCCCTTTTCATATATTTGTTAAAGGAACTGGGTCATTTGTCCTGTCGAGTTTCTAGATATTGCTAATTCTATCACTGAGGTACCCATTTAACACGTTCCTCTCTTCCCCCTCATTCCTATAATTGACAGATCTAAGTTGTGCTGTGCAACAGAAATATAATTCAAGCCACATATGTAATTTTAAATTTCCTAGGAACCATTTTTAATAACGTCAACCTAAACAGATTACATATTATTAAAATTTCAAACAAAATATTTCAAATGTAACTGCTATTAAAGGTTAGTAAATATTTTATATTCTTTTTTCTTACTAGACCTTCAAAATTCAGTGTGTATTGTGTGCCTACAGCACATCTTAAGTCAGACTTGTACATTTCGAGGGCTCAGCAGCCACATAAGGCTAAGGAATACTCCACTAACAGTGCAGATTACAGAGGCCTGATCAGATTGAAGTTCGATGTTTTGGGGAAGAACACTTCCGTAATGCCAGGCTCTCTCTCTCGTTTTGGAATGTTAGTTGTTGATGATCATTGCCTAAGTATATTCATTAGGGGTTGCAAAAAGCAATATTCAATTATTTTATTCCTTCTCATTCAACTGCTAATTATTGAGAAACTTCCCTTCATCAATTATTTGGTTACACTGAGGTATATTTCACAGAGGAAAAAGCATGATGAATGCTTGATTCTATTTGGTTTTCAAAATAATAGGTTGGTTCTCTAGTATCTTCCAAAAGTGACCAATTAGGTGTTGTTGGTTTTGGTTGCTTGCTTGTTTGTTTTTGAGCTGTCTGGGATTTGAAATTTTTCAATCCATTTCCATTTTTATTCCTACTTATTCTCAACTTGTCCCATTTTTACCAAGTGAGAGCCTCGTCAGATTAGCTCCTGAGTGCTTCTGATGGCATCTTAACAGTCTGACAGTTTCCTTTCTTTCTGGTCTGATGCGATCTTCCAGGCTCATCATGTGCGTTTGCTGCTTAGACCTGGAGTCGGCCATTGTTCCAAGGAGCCCTGGATCCTTTTGGTAGGAAATATGTTCAGAGCCCTCTATCTGGGCACTAGTGGGGTTTATTGCAACTTTTTTTTTTTAAGATAAAATACTTCAGGAGCTCATATCAGAAATTCCAGAATTCCAGTTTGCAAGACTTTTAACTTAAAAAATCATGGATCTTGTACCTCTAACTTCTTTTCCTCAAACCAAAAATCTGTTCCCAAAGAATTTTCCAATACCAATGTATCCTGTGATACAGACAGCACTGTCACCACCCATGTGATTACTGAGAATGGTTTTCAGTAACATACTTTTTACAATCCTTTTTGTCATTAGGGTGTATCTCACTAGGGATGCTCAGTCAAAATACTGTGTTCTAAGACCACTTGATGTAATTCTTCTCCATGTGGTTATGCCACCACTAGATAGCAGTTAGGTTTGTTTCATTTTATTTTCAAATTTGTAGGGATTGCTTTTTCATTTGTTCTCTAACTATGTAAAAATTTAAATGGTCTAGTGACAAATCTGTACAACAAGGCAACAAGGTACAGGTAAAGCTGGCCAACTAGCCTTTCTTCCTCTCCTCTTTTTTCCTTTTCTCCCCCTACCCCCTTGGGTGCTTTGTAAAAAAAATTTTTTTTTAAGTTCTTGGTTTATACTCAGGAAACTTTGATACCTCAGTCTGTATTTATTTAATGAATACTTAAGTACCTAGTACATACCCTGCACTTTGTTAGATTCTCAGATGCTTAAAGGTTGTATGAGACGCAGCCCTTACCTTCGGACAGCATATAGTGTAAAGGAAGGTTCATATATGGAAGTATTAAGATTTAACTTGCTATAGAAGGCTGGGGTCAAACTGCCAAGATTCGGGGTCAGGCTAAGGAAGGCATGTTTGATCCTCTGTGTTGTGAGTACCAATTTTTTTTTTTTTTTAATCTAGGGGAGGACATATTTAAGGTACTTTTTAGCAAAACTAATCAGTTCCATGTTAGGTATGGATTGAACTAAAGTGAGATACGGCCTAGGCATGAGTACAAGTAAATATTAAGTATTTGTTGAATGAAACAGCATTGAGAATGACATGGAAAGGCTCGAGGAGACATCCTGATGGAACAATACAGGGAACTTTGAATTTTTCAATGGCAGGAATAAGAACAGTTGGAGTTCGAGGATACAGCATAGGTATCTGAGTGGGTAGAATTCCCACTATTATACATTCAATACATTCGGTGGAAAAAGATGAGTTTAGTTTTATCAGGTTGAGAAATAAGGGCTAGGAAGAAAAGTTAGCCATCCCTTCTCAGTAATAATTAAAGCTAGATCAGCGACAGTCTTGGAGAGAGAAAACTTAAAAAGATGGGGACAGATGTCACAAATCTTAAGAAAGCCCACCCTGAGGACTAAGCCAGAGAATAAGGAGCCAGCTGAGGAGAAGGAGTCCAAGAGGTAAGCGAAACATCTCAGAAAGTGAAATATGACTTAAGCTAAGGAAGAAGTTCTCTGGAGGGGTGATAATCCCTTGTTGAAATGCTGCAGAGGGGACAGTTAGGTGAGGCTGACTTAGGGCTGCTTTTCCAGGCCACAGGTCCCTCCTCCTAAACTCATCTCCTGCTCTTTGTGTTGCAGATCTGCTCTCCTCTACGAGATATTCAGTATCCTTATTTTCTGATCTTTAAGAAAAATGTTTAATCTTGCCTATAGGTGCTAGTGGCACCCAGATCTCCCAGTAAAGATAACTTTGTAACTGTTCTTAGGATAATGGTAAAATTGGGGTTCTGATTTTTATTGTTTGATTTGTAGAAGTAAAAAGTGGCTCTTCCAGGACCTTCTTAAAGTTCAATGTAATCAGAAGACTGGGCTCCCATGTCTGTTGTATCATCGGCATCAAGAGCTCTTTAAGCCTGAGTCTTGGCCGTGAACTTCTGGTATGGGAGAGACATGCTTATAGATGGGCATTTTATCCCTAAATTGTTGTCTTTCCCCTTCAAATCACCTTCCTCTAGACAGCAGGTGCGTTACTGGTTGTGCAACTTTGGGGAGTCCCTTTAGGGAGTTTCCTGTTTTTCCCTTTTCCATTTCACACCCATTCCTTGCTCCCGCCGCTGCCATCTGCTATCTCTTTTCTCCTGTTCAGCGTTGGCTTCTTCACACCCCACTCCCACGCCCTTTTCCATCGCTCTCCTTCTGTCCAACAGCCCTGTACTTAGATCACTCCAGTGCTTGTACATGGAGCAGAGAACTTTCTCTCTTCTCTCAACTCACTAAGCTCAAAGGAGAGACAAAATTCACATGGCCTTCAACCAACACCCTGGAAACTTGACAAACCTAAGGAAGCACAAGACAACACAGGTGCTGATTTGGGGAGTATTTATTTAACAGGGCTCGAATATTTCTGTTAACAACTTGCAAAGTCTTACATTTCTGGGTGTGAACTTTATGTGCAGATCTAGATAAAATCTTTACTGACGTATGAATCAACCTTAAGTACACTTGTGTTTCTACAAACGTAAGAGAAAACACAAACATCTACAAGTTCAACTACAAAGTACAGCACGATACTTGAATGCCATCAGCTGAAGGATGTATCAGTACTACCTAGCAATAAAACTTGCCTTTGAGATTAGCTTAGCAATCTGATACTAAAAATCTAGATAGCATAGTGAAAGGTTCCTGTTGCAAAGTACTCAGGTACCTCATGGACCTTTTCAATACGGGAAGTATTTGCCTAAGTATAAAATTAAAAAATGGAATATTGAACAAATGTAATGTGTGTCATTCATATACCATTTGCATGATCTGGGCAGACTAGAACTCTCTGAAGGTCAGCCTAGCATGGGTCTGAGTATCTGATTGTTTTTCGTATCGGAATATTTGACTATTTTATCCATCTGGCTGTTTTTAAAGGATTTTAAAGCTAAGTTAGTACTCTGAGCAGTTTAGAGGAAGTTCTTTTTCCAAGAATTATTGGCATTTCCTAGCTACTTAAAATGAAAAAGGCAGAACTTAGAAGTACCACCCCCATCCCTGCCTTTTATTTTAAAATAAGAAACCCTGCATCCTCTCTTTGAAACCGGTTAATTAAGCAGTGATCTGTCAGTGCCTGTCCATCAGTTCAAACTGTATATCCAGAGGAGAGTTGAAGCGAGAGATCTGGGATACAGATATTGCTATTACAGGTGCCATTTGTGTGTGTGGTTTAAATACATTTTGTTTTGAAAATGCTTCTGTTACAGGATATAGAAGCGGCAGAGAAGTCTCTACAGACCCAGAATCATCCAGTTCCATCGCCTGAGGTGGCTTCTCTTGAGGTGAGAATCTTAAGGAACAAATGTGAAAGAAGAGACCCTCAAAAAAAAAAAAAAAAAAAAAAGGAAGAGAGGCTCTTCAGTTAGTAGTGCATTGTAAGTGGCTGTGTATGTATATATCCCAGATTCCTTCATTTAGTAAAATAAATAAGATGGGTCTCACTGATCTCTCTATGTCCACAGTGCCATGCTTTGTATGTAGTGGGTAATCTGTAAGTATCTGGGTTTTAAAAAAATTTTACATCAAGTGAAAATTTTATCAAGACCTTGTGTCTTTTCACCGAGTCACTTAGAAATGACTCTTGTTAAATCCTAACAGACAATATGCACGAAATCTTAAGATGACAGCCTAACCAAAATGCTTTTCCTGTTGGCTGATGTTAGAAGTAGCAGCTCAGTCTCTTCACCAAAAATGCAACCAACGCTATTTAAATGCATATTATCATGCAGTATAGCGTGGCTTTTGTCTGTTTGATTTTGCTCAGTTCAAGAACAGATTGGGAAGATGGTTGGCAAAAATAAACCGTATTTGGTATACGAATGTATGTGTGCTGAAAGGGAATTTGCTACATATAGAATAGTTTGATTTTATATTTTTAATGACCTTTCTTCAATACAGTTTTTGTTTGCTTCCTAACCAGTGATGTGAATAGACTCAAAAATTAAAGGCTGAGAATTTGCCCTGCAATTTTCTGTGTCATCTAGAGTAATAAGGAAAGGCAGTGATCAAGGATAGAAAGAACTCCCGTTCAAAGTTGCGCCTTGGGCATGTCTTTTTCTTTGTTGAATTTTCCAATACCTTACTCTGGCCCGTACAGGGCCCACACAATAGGGGTTAATCCAGCCGTGAATGGCGGAGAAACACCCAACCACAGGCCTTGGTTGGTATTTTTCTTAGCTAGTCTCGCACAGCAGGATGACCTTTATTTTAAGTATGTCAGGCTACTTCTCAGACCACATGCATAGATACATGGAACCCCTCATCATTTTCAGCTTTCAGAGCCCTCATACCTTTTTTTTCTTGTTTTTTTAATAATAGCATCTTATTTTTTTTTATGTTTTAGTTTTTACTTTTTGGCTGCACCAGGCAGCTTGTGGGATCTTAGTCCCCTGACCAGGGATCGAACCCGAGCCCACCGCAGTGGCAGTGCTGAGTCCTAATCACTTGACTGGCGGGGAATTGCCCCCACCCCCTACCTTTTTAATGCTCAGTGTGAATAATTATGTCTCCCCAATGCTATCTAACTCTTTGACTGATTCTGAAAATGAGCTGGATAGTGAAGATCTCATATCAAATGCCCTCCTGTGACACAGAGCTTCTGCCATCTGACTTTTCTCTGACCTCCTTCGGGCACTCAGCCAAGAAACCATGCAAGCGTGTAGATGCCATACAGCAATGCAGTATGAGCTTCTACAGCTTACAGACTGCTACAGTCAGTCTAGAAACACAGCGTCTCAACTTCCAAGTTACTTGAATTAAAAATAGCTAGATGATGTTGATATTATTGTTATTATCCAAAAAAATGTGGGAAGAAGTTACAGTTTGCCATATCAGGTGCTCTTCTAAAAGATATAGCGGGTGCATAATTTTGCGGATGCATAACTTTAAATGTTTTTTCCCCCCTACAATTAAGGGGTCAGTTCACCTGAGTCCTCTAGCATGCCCCTTGTATTTCAGGTGCTGATATCATCCAGGTCACATCTTTTTCTGTTAGTTCTAAAGCAGTTGTTCATGTTGAATCATTTCATTGTGATAATTTTAGTATGGGCAATCATTTAGTATGGGATTGGGAACAGTAAACAAAAACTTTGAATGATTGTATAGCCATAAATGATACTACTGGTAATAATCACAAGATTGGCCACAAGAGGGCGTGTAAAATCACAATAAAATTGTAAAACCTGTAATTCTGCCAGGCTCTAGTTTTACTGAGAAATTTGAAAATTAACACTAGTAAGTAGCCAGATTTTTTTCTAAAATTAACATAAAATATTCTGTAGAGGAAGTGCATTCTACGTATATGTGTGAGTGTGTGTGTGTGTGTGTACGCACACACACACTTAAGTGAATAAACATTTAGACTATTATGAAGAGCCAAGTTCAATTGCTTGATATGCTTTTTTACTTTTGGATGTTGGTTTTTTTTCCAGACTCTTTACTGGGCATCAGTAGAAGAATATATTCCCAAATGGGAACAGTTTCTTTTAGGAAGAGCACCATATCCTATTGGTGTTGAAAATCCAAATGAAGCAGAAGATACCATTCAAAAGGAGGTGCAGCAATAGCTTCTTCACATACTATTTGAAAAACCTATTTAGGAAAGCTGAGTGTTAAAGAATATGCAGATCACTGCAGGAACTTTAGGAATCAGACATGTTCAATTGTCTCATTACTTCCTCAATGACAATGAAGATTTGAAAATCTACTTGGAACTTTCAGGCCATCACTGGGAGACCTACTGCTCTTTCAGTGTCATGAATTTGCTTTCTACCAAACCCATGGAAGTGTTAAAAGCTGATACTGAAAGGTGGACTGTTGATTAAATAAGCTGCTGAATGAGTGTTGTGCGCTGTTGAAAGAAAAAAAAAAAAAGTCATTTACTGCCACTATCACCTAAACAGTGAATACCAGTAGTTCTGATTTTACATCTTCTATAATCTTTACTTTTCAGTTATTTTGTTATGGGGATAAGGCTCAGGATCCAAGTGGTTGTTTGCTCACTCTTTTAGCTTTTTAACAAATGAAAAGACAGTGACAATCGCTTAGTATAATAATATTGATCAGGAAATAGATTCATAGGATTTTGTCCCTCATAGATCACTGGACCTGTAAAAATTCTCGAAGCAAGAACTAAACTACCAAGCATTCAATAAGTAGCCAGTTTCAGGAGGGCTCAGACTGGGTTCTGAAAAAGGACACCTATTAGAGCTGGGAATGGTCGCTGGATTTTGACCTGGTTATTTAAAGATTGCCAACCCTGTGAACACAAGTAACGCTTCTCTCATCTTTTCATCTTTAAATCTATCCTTCCCTGTCCCTTCTATTTTCTTTATTTCTCAAACAACTGTCAGTCAGAAACTTTTGGGTCACAACCCTCAATAGCTTTGGGATTCCTCAATCCACCACTGCTGGAGTGCTCAAAAAAAAAAATTCTACTTTTTCTAATTATAAAAGCAGCTCCTGCTTAGGGGTCCACATCACAATGAAAGATTTTCAATTTTAAACTGGTTTGTGGTTTTATAAGTTGACAACAGGACAAGCTAAAAAAAAAAAAAAAAAAAGTCCATTGTGCTGATAAGTTCCTTTAAACTACCATCTTGGAAATATCCTGTTGAGTGGGTGCTGGTGTGGGTAACAATAATGCTGTTTTCATAGCACGTGCTGGCAGATGAGCACTCTTCTCCACAGTGTTAACAGTTGTAATTAAGGAATAAACAGCACAGAGTGTCAGTCCGATGACAATTTCATCTATAGTGTCACAATACAAAATGTCACAAAATATTAGAACTGTTATATAACTATAAAAAGGATTGGCTTAAAAGCCAAAAGCCCTTTAAAAAGGAAGACAGAGAAAGAAAGAAAAAAGAAAACTGGCATAGGGACCAAAACCGTTTTATACCTTCTCAAGACTGTTCTGTCACGAAAATAAATTGATATATTTTTTTTTTTCCTGTTACATTACAGTTTGGTTTCTAGCCATCCAGTTGATTTAGCAGGAGAATGCAGGGCTTTTTAGCAGCTTTGAATTGGTAAACAGATTTAGATGTAGTAGAGAGAACATGAGGAAGTTTTTTTTTTTTTTTTTTTTAACATCCAATCTTTCCCAGCATATGCACATAAGAAGGTGAATGAAGCGATGTGAAACTTATTTCTCTTTAGTCAAGTGAAAAAAAGGCTAAACATTTGTTGAGATGGTAAAATATTGTGTCAAGCAAGTAGGCATATTCCAAAATTAAACAGTGGTTGATACATGAGCCGTCCTCAAATATTTGAGCATTACGCTTCCTTTGAGTTCTGTAAATTAAAGCACCAGTAGGTTAGATTAAAATACAAAATGAATAGCAATTTAACCATCTCAGGAAAGGTTCAGGGTTTTTTCTCCCCTAAATTGACTAACTTGCTAAATCTTATTTTTTTTTAAACCCTTAAGTTTAATGTAACCTGGCTTATGATTTAGGGCAGAAGGGAAGCTATTTCTAGGCTTCAGTTGTACCATTTCCCCCATTTCTACTTAGTACCTCGAAAACTCCCGGAGGGGACTTTATTCCTGGCCCACCCAGAGTTTTCCCCCAGCCCCCTTCTTGTAGAATGGAACAGATTGCACCACATGGTGTATGTTTAAAGAAAAAAACAATCCCGAAGAGACCTAGATACCCCATTGAAGGGCATTATATTCCTCATGGCAAATTAGCTTTACGTAGGAATTTCCAAATATTGTTTTCTGTAAGGAGGAGAGAAATACAGTATCTAATATACATTTTGTACATAATTAGTAGGAATCAGACAACGAGAAAGAAATGTCATCTACTGAGACTTTTTCCTCCCTATTCAGTGCCCTTACCATACACTACATTGTACCCACTAATCTTTATGAAAACTATGAATTTGTTTTTTGTTTTTTTTTAGAATAACGGGGTTTTCAAAATAAACCCTGTTCCAAGAATTTTTCATAGCCTTTCTTGGATTGTTGCAAATGCATACATATTCAAAGATCATTTTCTGCTGGACACTTCTTGTGTACGATATTGAGTATTAAACCATAAAATGCTAAAGTTCAGAAGGAGCTGCAGTTTTTCTCTGAACTTCAAAAAATTAATTTTACTAAGTACTCAGGAAAAAGCCTAATACTCTTGAAACCAGACATCTGGTCTTTCCCATGCGTAGGGAGCAGTGTGAATCAAAGTGATGTCAAACGGACAGTTTTTCTCTGCCTTATGTATAAGGTGTTTTAACTTGCTAGCTTAAGACTTAGATGAGAATTAAAATGATCTTTAACTGTATTTACCATTTTGTCTTCTCTGCCTCATCCTCCCTTTTCTATTAAAAAAAGAGAGAGAAAGATATATTGGGTGTATTTATTTTAGATTCAAAATTAAACTTATTTGGAGGCTATTTTGTCACTTAGGAGACAACTGGAAACACTGGGAGTAGACTGGGGAAGGGGTATGTGAAAAACCAGGGTATGCAATCACCAGTTTCAGGCAGGAGAAAGATATTGAACTTTAAACCCAGTGTAAGGTTTTACTATGTAAAATTTAATGCACAAGGCCATGAATTTGGCTTTATCTACAAAATACATTCTTTTCCTTCCTTAGTCTATTGTCTTTTTATTCTAAGCCAATTCACATCATTTCATTTTTTTTTTAAAGAAAGTCTCTTGTTTAAAACAAAGTTTTAAATCTCCCTGAAGAGTTTTTTCCCCTTTTCAAGAATTGCCCAAACATAATACCTACATGGCTTAAAACACCCTTCACTGCAGTAGTCTATTTTGACCTCTTCCACTTTAATTAGGATAGTAAGTTAATTTTTTAAAGAGTTGCTGACCAAAATCTATTCTTCAGAGAAGGTAGTAACTAGATGGTGAATTCAAACAGTTAAATAAAGTCTATGAAAAATATGGAGAAAGGGAAAGGGAGAGAAATTAGTTTGAGAAAACTTTAAGTTGGAATAAGAAAGTGTCTCTCGCTCTCTCTCTGGTGGTGTTTTTGTTTGTTTCTCATATAATTCAGAAGTTAATTTGTCTACGTAGGAAATTTAATTCTCTATTGCTAATAAGAGAATGCTTAGAGTTTTCTGGGACAAACACGAGGACATGTCAAACTTCAGCAATTAAGGACAGGATTGATTTGTGGATTTGACACCTGGCATTGTGATCCCGCTTTCTAACTGGAACTGAGATTATATCCTTACTAAAATCCAAGACAAGGAAAACGAGTCCAACAAAGACAGAGGCTAAAAAACCGCTTCCGGACATCATCTTACTTCTCAGAGTCAGGTTTCCTTGCTTACAAGAGAAAGGACTGGGTCCCCTACATTGTAATAATGTTTTGAAGTCCTTGCTATCTTAAAAACCCTAATTTGTGTCTCAGACAAAGACAGAGACTGCTAAAGTAGTAGCCTGACCACAGTACAAATCAATAAATAGTTGCACAGAAGGGACAATGAAGTGTTCTTATTTTAGAAAATAGGGATGATTTAGTTTGTTTCTCTCATTTTGATGATAACTGGCCCATTTAAGCTCCACTGTTACAGTCAAAGGATTTTTTATTACTCCTTAATAAGTCTAGGTTATCAATGCAGAAATTTTTCTGATGTTTTACACAATACCACTTTAGAGACAATACAGTCAAATTAGAAGGAGACAAATTTCCGTTTATAATTTTGTCTATAGTCTATCTCTGGCTTGTTTCACCTCCCAATACAATATCATTATTTTTTATACCTTGTCTCCGTCCATTTATAAGGTCTGTAACACTTATAAACGTATCATTGTACTAGAACACTCTACCCCAGGAAAACAAATACTGAGTTATTCAAAAGAAGCCTAATCTAGAGCCTTTTAAAAGGATATCCAGTAAACACAAAGGTGGATAACATTTGAGCATCATTCATTCATTCGTTAGATCTTATTGACTTCCTACCAATAAGGAAACTGAATCAGTAATCAAAAACCTCCCAACATAGAAAAGCCCAGGGCCAGATGGCTTCACTGGTGAGTGAATTCCACCACATATTTAAATAAGAATTAAGGTCACTCCCTCTCAAACTCTTCCAAAAAATATAAGAGGAGGAAACATTCCCAAACTCATTTTTACAAGGCCAGCATTACCCTGATATCAAAGCCAGATAAGGACACTACAAACAAACAAACAACAACAATAAAACTACAGACCAATATGCCTGATGAATATAAATGCAAAAATTCTCAATAAAGTATTAGCAAACTGAATTCAACAACACATTAAAAGGATTATACACCCTGACCAAATGGGATTTATCCCTGGGATACAGGGACGGTTCTTCAAACACATCAATAAATGTGATATATCAATACCGCATTAAAGGAATGAAAGATAAAAACCATATGATCATCTCAGTAGATGCAAAAAAAGCATTTTACAAAATACAACATCCTTTCATGATTAAAAATCCTCAACAAATTGGGTATAGAAGGAAAACCGCTCAACATAATAAAGCCCATATATGATACACCCACAGCTAACATCATACTCAATGGTGAAAGATCAAAAGCTTTTTGTCTAAGATCAGGAACAAGAAAAGAATGCCCACTCTTACCATTCTAATTCAACATAGTACTGGAAGTCCTAGCTAGAGCAATGAGGCAAGACAAAAAATAAAAGGCATCCAAATCAGAAAGGAATAAGTAAAACTGTACTTATTTGTAGATGATATGATTAAAAATATCATATATATATACAAAAAATATATATATATAAATATCATATATATATATATATATATATATATATATATATATATATATATAAATAAAGAATCAAAAAATAAATAATTAGAATTAATCTATGAATTCAGTAATCAATAAATGCAGGATATGAAAATCAACACACAGGGACTTCCCTGGTGGTGCAGTGGTTAAGAATCCGCCTGCCAATGCGGGGGACACGGGTTCGAGCCCTGGTCCGGGAGGATCCCACATGCCACGGAGCAACTAAGCCCATGCGCCACAACTACTGAGCCTGCGCTCTAGAGCCTGTGAGCCACAACTACTGAGCCCATGTGCCACAACTACTGAGCCCGTGTGCCACAACTACTGAAGCCTGCGCACCCTAGAGCCCATGCTCCACAACAAGACAAGCCACCGCAATGAGAAGCCCGCGCACCGCAACGAAGAGTAGCCCCTGCTCCCGCAACTAGAGAAAGTCCTCATGCAGCAAGACCCAACGCATCCAAAAAAAAAAAATCAGCAATTAGTTGCATTGATATACACTAGCAATGAATTATCTGAAAAAGAAATAAAGATTATCCCATTTACAACAGCATCAAAAACAATAAAATACTGAGGAATAAATTTAACCAAGGAAGTAAAAGATTGAACAGTGAAAACTACAAGATCTTGGTGAAAGAAACTGAACAAGACACAAATATTTGGAAAGATATCCCATGTTCATGCATTAGAAAAATTAATATTGTTAAAATGTCCATACTACCCAAAACCATCTATAGATTCAATGCAATCCCTATCAAAATTCCAGTGGCATTTTTCACAGAAATAGAGCAAACAACCCTAAAGTTTTTATGGAACCACAAAAGACCCCAAATAGCCAAAGCAATCCTGAGAAAGAAAAAGGCAGAGCATCACACTTCCTGATTTCAAACTATACTACAAAGCTATAGTAATTCAAACAGTATAATACTGGCATAAAAGTAGACACATAGACCAAAGAAACAGAATCCAGTGCCCAGAAATAAATCCCCACATATACAGTCAACTAACATTTCACAGGGGAGCCACAAACACTCATGGGGAAAGGATAGTCTCTTCAGCAAATGGTGTTGAGCAAACTGGATAACCACATGCAGAAAAATGAAACTGGACCTCAATCTTACACCAGTCACAAAAATTAACTCAAAATGGATTAAAGACCTAAATGTAAGACCTGATAAGGTAAAACTCCTAGGAGAAAACATAAGGAAAAATCTCCTTGACACTGGTCTTGGCAATGATTTTTTGGATACAACACCAAAAGCACAAGCAACAAAAGCAAAAGAACAAGTGTGACTACATCAAACTAAAAAGCTTCTGCACAGCAAAAGAAACAGTAAA